AGTGACAAACAGACACAAACAGACAGAGGGAAACCAGGAATCCCACAGTGCCCCCCCCTCAAGGATCGCCTCTCGGCGATCTAAGCCGCTTTTCAGGGTGAGCCTTGAAAAAGGAGGTGATAAGGCCTGCGTCCAGGATGCGAGACCTAGGGACCCAGGAGCGATCTTCAGGACCATACCCCTCCCAATCTACCAGATATTGGACGCCCCGGCCCCTGCGTCTCACATCCAGGAGACGTCTGACGGTGAACGCAGGCGCGTTGTCAATCATCCGGGGAGGAGGAGGGGATCTAGAGGGAGGCTGAAGAGGACTGGAAACAATGGGCTTGACTTGGGACACGTGGAAGGTCGGGTGTATCCTCATGGATGGAGGGAGTTGAAGCCGCACCGCCGACCTGTTCAGCACTCTCACAATAGGGAAAGGACCTATAAACCTGGGAGAGAGTTTCTTAGGGAAGTCCTTCAATGTGATGTCCCGAGTCGAGAGCCAAACCCTCTGGCCAGCCTCATATCTGGGGGCCTCGGAGCGGTGTCTGTCCGCGAAACGTTTGTTCTGCTCAGAGGACCTGGCCAGAGCCGCCCTAGTCTGTCGCCAGACCCGACGACAGCGCTTGAGGTGAAGGTGAATCGAGGGAACGCCCACGTCGGCCTCCTGAGAAGGAAAGAGAGGAGGGGAAAATCCCAAAGCCACCTCAAATGGAGATCGTCCAGTGGCCGCCGAGGTCTGCGAATTGTGGGCGTATTCGATCCATGGAAGATGCTGGCTCCAGGACGATGGGTTGGAGTCGATCACGCACCTCAAGACAGCCTCCAGATCCTGGTTACATCTCTCCGTCTGACCAAAAAGGTGACTGAAGATTTGTGGAACTCACACTTCTCAGCTTTTACGAACAGTTGATTCTCCAGTAATCTTTGGAGGACTGCTTTAACATGTTGGGTGTGTTGTGTCTCGTCTTTAGAGTAGATTAATATATCGTCTAGGTATACGAACACGAAGGCTTGGAGGAAATCTCGTAGGACGTCGTTGACAAGGGCCTGAAAAACTGCTGGAGTGTTGGTCAAGCCAAAAGGCATGACCAGATATTCAAAATGTCCAAGGGGTGTCTTAAAAGCAGTTTTCCACTCGTCCCCCTTACGAATACGGACTAGGTGGTAGGCATTACGGAGGTCTAGTTTTGTGAATATTGTAGCACCTTGTAATTGTTCATAAACGGAGTCGATGAGAGGTAGTGGATATTTATTCTTAATAGTGATCTGATTCAGGCCCCGATAGTCTATACATGGACGAAGGGTTTTGTCCTTCTTTGCGACAAAAAAGAACCCAGCTCCAAGTGGAGACATGGATGGGCGAATAATACCAGATTTAAGAGAGTCTTCGATATAGTCCTTCATGGAGGCTCTCTCAGGACCAGATATGTTATACAATCTACTAGCGGGTAGAGGAGCTCCAGCCAGCAAATCGATCGCACAATCGTAGTGTCTGTGACGTGGCAAAGATAAGGCTAGTTGTTTGCTGAAAACCGGTGCTAAGGAATGGTAGAGAATAGGGATTTTGGAAAAGTCAATCTCCTCTTTTATCACTGGAGGAGGAGAACTGGGAGAAATGGCGGAACGGAGGCATTTTAATGAACATTCCTCTCCCCATCTTTCAATCCTGTTTTCAGCCCAGTTAATGTGGGGGTTGTGAATCCTTAACCAAGGGTATCCCAATATGAGTTGTGATGTGGGAGAATCAAACACAAAGAACTCACCCATCTCTCTGTGATTTCCTGAGACCACAAAATTTATTTTTACTGTCTTAGATGAAATAGAAGAGATGTTTTGTCCAGTTATAGCGGTGACGGATATGGGTGGATCCAACCTTGTTGTGGGAATCTGTAATTCCTCCACGAGGTCCCTGCTGATGAGGCTCTGTTCAGCGCCCGAGTCGATTAGTGCCTGCACAGGGTGATTTTCAGAGGTTAGACAGAGAATAACAGGTAGGGTAAAGTTCTTAGGAGAAAAAGAAGTATTGCCCACCAGTATCTCCTTACTTACTGGCAGGCGTTGGCTTTTACCCATAACCTGCATGTCTTAATTGTGTGACCTTGTCCTCCACAGTACATACATGCCTTCGCCTCATGACGTCGCTGTTGCTCTTCAGGAGAGAGTCGGGTCTTTCCGACCTGCATCGGCTCCTCTTCGGAAACCAGCTCGGGAGTAGAGAAGGCGGGGCTTCTGGAAGCGAGAGGCTCACGGGAGTTGAAGTCCGCCTCGAGCAGGTTCTCCCGAACACGGTTATCGATGCGTATAGCTAGAGCAATAACGTCATCTAAGAGGGAAGGGATCTCACCAGTAATCATCTTGTCCTTAATCTGGCGGTCAAGAGCCCTTATGAATGCACTGCAGAGCGCCCTCTCATCCCATCCGGACTCTTCGGCGAGGATGCGGAAGTGGATTGCGAACCTCGCCACCGTCTCTTTCCCTTGGCGTAAGGAAAATAATTTCTGAGCAGCTTCCTCCTGTTGGAGAGGGTGATCAAACACCTGGAGAAAGTTCTTTAAGAAAGTGGAATATGTCAAGTCTTCGACGGGGCGTCGGCGGAGGTGGGCTTGCGCCCATTGTAGTGCCTCGCCCTTCAGAGCACTAACAATGTAAGTAATACGTGAAAAATCTGAGTCGTAGGTAACTGGGGCTCTTTTAAATGCAAGTTCGCACTGAAGAATAAAGCCCCCACACTTTCGTGTATTACCTTCAAAAAACTCGGAAGGTCGAACGTCTGGTTCTCTAGGAGAAGCTCTAACAGGTTTAGCCAATGGTTCGGAGGAGTGAAGCTGCGACGTCCTCCCCTTCTGTAGTGAAGCCACCATGCTCCCCAATTCCAGAAGGTTGTTTTGGGTGGTTTGCTGTTGAGCAATAATCTGCTGTAATGTTAAAGCGAGATTGTCAAAGTTTCCTTGTGGCCTTAACTGAGCCCTTACTTCCTCAGTCTTGCCTGGGGGGTCCATTGGCTGGGACATACTATCAGGATTGTACAATGTCGACCCCCAAAGTAGCAGACCAAGGAAGCAAGGACACGAGGCAGGTAAAAGGTAAGTGCTATTTATTTACAGGTGAAGATAAAACTCGAACAGCTGTAAGGGAAGGGGAGAGACGGTGAATATATATCCTCTTGGTAGATGATGATGTGATTGTTAAATCAAGAATTGATCCTTACTTTGTTATTGTTGCAGGAGATGGTTGAGGAGGAGCAAAGAGTGGGATCCTGGGTGTGAGGAGGAATCCAGAGGAGAGTAGCAGATTGACCCAGACAGAGTGGTGGATGTTGTAGCTGGAGATGAGACATCAAGATCCACAGGAAGGAGTTCCAGTGGTGAGAGAAGCCCTAGAGAGGACCAGATGAACCAGGCCGTGGAAGGTCCGATTGGCAGAAGATGCCCCAGCACTGGAGAGGAGACTGGCAGCTGCTTAAGTAGGTGAGTCAGCAGTACTCCTCAGATTGGTGGCAGGTGTGACGAGTTGGGTGATTAGCTGTGGAGGGAAAGTGACAAACAGACACAAACAGACAGAGGGAAACCAGGAATCCCACACACGAGGCATTTTGCTAACAGACAAACAGGATTTTCTCATCCTGTTAAACAGAAAGTTTTAAGGAAGAATATTGTACAATGCATTTAGGACGGCTATCAGCTAATAACACATCTGAAAAAAGGAGTGGCTCTTAATTTCATTGTATTTGCGTATAATGACAATAAAGGCATTCTGATTCTGATCAGATTTTAACTCAGTTAAAAAGTTTAAAAAGGAAAGATCACATTATTTTCTGAAACAACCTGCTGCCCTCCCACTTGGTCTCTTGGACACATAAAACATTTACCTTCCTTCTCTGCATCATGCCAGCCAGCTCTATACATTTGCCTGTCATTGTCCCCACATTTAAAGTTGCAACCCTCAGTCCTACATTCTTGACTTTCCTCTTCTCACTCTGTCTCCTGAAACGTTTCAGTCCTTGTGGTCTTTGACTATACATTATAAAGTGATTTAAAATATAAATACTATACATTATAAAGATATGTAAAATACTAAAAACAGGAACAAGTCTGCAATGGTTTTTGCAATGAACTTAACAGATTTCAAATTTGATCTGGATGATTGTGATTAAATCCGAATTTTAACCTTAATCTTCAAAGAAAATGTCAATAAAGGAAGTGTGAGATTCAGAATGTATGAGCAAATCCACCAGTTATTGATTATAAAACTAAAACTTAAAAATCACAAAATTTGTTCAAATATATATATATATATATATATATATATATATAAAATTTTAAAAACTAAAATAATGCTGCTTACATACTTTTGTGTATTGCTTAATAATACTGTATAACAGCTATAAGAATATATAAGTATCTAATATAATCATTTGTAGTATTTTTTATTTTGCTGTACAAATATAAATAAGGAAAGTAAGAGAATGAAACATGCTGACACTGCCGTTTTCCTGAACTCAGGGCAGATTTAAACCAACCTGTTCTTTTATTTTTAATACAGTGTTTCCTTTACAATGGTATTTAAGAGTGAGACTAAATTTTTAAACGATTCTCAAGTTTTGGCTTCATTTTAAACACTATCACCAGAGAATAAGAACGGGTGGTTACAGATATCAAAGTGCACCACAGTGTTCAAAAGTCACAAAGTCAAAACCACTGGATTTTTACACTCTTATGGTTAAGATCTAAAATAACAGATGCGTGTTGACCCCACACCCTGATCCTCTGATCTCTCGTTCAGCCGGAGGTGGATTCCCGCTCAACTTTTATGTCTGATAAAAATGACATTGTTGTATATTCAGTCTGGTGTGTAACCCAGTCTGTCATGGTTTGGCTACCAGAAGAGCAACATCTGCTTCTCTTATAAAAGGTAAAAACATTTGCAACAAGCATTATTAAATATTTGAGTATCTTGGTCGACTCACATCTCTCTTTTAAGCTTCACGTGGAAAACCTAGTAAGAAAACTGAAAGTTAAACTGGGTTTCTTTTTCATAAATAGATCCTGTCTAACTCTGAATGCTAGGAAACACCTTGTAATTATGACTTTCCTTCCCTCCATCGACTACGGTGACATTATTTACATGAACGCTCCTACAAGCACCCTGCAGATGTTGGATGCTGTCCATCATGAGTCCAGCTACAGGCAAGAGGTGGAACACCTGGAGAGCTGGTGCAGAGAGAATAACCTTCACATCAATGTGAAGAAGACAAAGGAGATGATTGTGGACTTCAGAAGGAACAAAAACATCTACACCCCCCTGAACATAAGAGGATCTGCGGTGGAAGTGGTCTCCAGCTACAAGTATTTGGGTGTACACATGAATGACAACCTCAGCTGGAGCAACAACACCACCAGCCTGATCAAGAAAGCTCATCAGAGACTCTACTTCCTCAGACGGCTGAGGCGAGCTGGTCTGGGAAGCTCAGTCCTCACCTCCTTCTACAGGTGTGCAGTGGAGAGCATCCTGTGCTCCAGCATCAATGTGTGGCATGGAGGCTGCACAGCTGCAGAAAGAAAAGCTTTGCAGAGAGTGGTGAAGGCTGCACAGAAATCTGTTGGAAATAGCCTCCCCACCATCACAGACATCTACACCTCCAGATGCAGGAAGAGGGCCACCTGCATCATGAAGGACCCCACCCACCCAGCACACACACTTTTTGCCCCACTCCCCTCAGGAAGGAGGTTAAGGAGCATTAAGTGTAGAACCACTAGACTGAGTAACAGCTTCTACCCTGAGGCTGTTAGACTCATGAATCTCTAACTAGAATAATCACTGTGAAAAACCATATCATGTTGCTGCTGATCTGTTTCATGTTGCTGCTGATCTGTTTCATGTTGCTGCTGATCTGTTTCAATGTTGATGTGTTCATGTGTGCACATCTGCTCACAGACTCATGTTCATGTTTGTGCTGATGTTCAATGTTTTATGTTATGAGTGCTTAGTGTATATTTAGTTGATGTTTTTCTTAGTTCATATCTTAGATGTTATTACTGTTTTTCTTATACATTTTATTGTTGGATGTAACTGGGACCCCGTGTACATAATTTCGCTCCACCACATGTACCACATGAGGTGCGAATGACAATAAAGAAACTCTGACTCTGACTCTGATCATGGTGCACTAAGATTCATAACTGGCTGTGATTATTGTACCCACTGTATTGACTGGTTAACTGGTCATCATTAACTTCACACAGACTCTCTCACTGGTACATTTTCATCTTTAAATCACTTCTTGGTCTGCTGCCTTCATACATCTCCTCCTACATGTCTCTGCGTGAGTGCAGCTACAGCGTGCGCTCTCAGGACATTATTACCTGCAGTGTTCCCTCAATGAGGGCTGAACTAGGCAAAAGGACCTTCTCCTACTCCGCTCCTGTTTCCTGGAATATCTTACAAAAAGATCTGAAGCTCTTGACCTTGACCTCTCTAAGTGGCTTCAAATACTGTATCTGTTAAGTACCCGACAAGAACCAATGCAGACATGTTCCTGTTTTTAGTTTTCTACACCGCCTTATAATCTAGCTGTTTTTGTTTCTTTTTTGCCATCTTATTTTAATATTAAAAAATAATAATAATAATAATTGTATGCCTCATTTGATTGTCTATTGTTGTCATTGTTATCGACTGTTTGTTAAAATCAGGTCTCTCTTGTAAATGAGTCCTTGAGGCTCAATGGGATTAACCTGTATTAATAAAGGATGAATTAGCATTTTAGGTGAAATCTAAGTTCTTTACAGAGGCTAACAGCTGATAAAAATTAAACTCGGTAACTTTTACATACGTTGATCTAAAGTTTGATGGGGTGGTAGCTGAGCATTATCAACAATATGTACTCTGAGTACTTTTCATTGGTGTCAGAAGCATTTGTAACGTGGGGGGGGGCATTGTTGGGGGGCGGGGGTCCTCCACAGAAAATTTTGAATAAAGTAGATGCCATTTCCTGCATTCTGGTGTATTTTAACAGGTTGTTAAACATCTATTTTTACCTACATAAGTAAACACTTCATTCAATAACTATTTCAGAGAGCAACAAGAAGTAGCCTGACCAACAGCTCTCCTTGTGTGAATAGTGCCCGCTCTGCTTCTCTCAAACATCCTAAACCCCCCACCCCGGTCGACAACTGCCGATGCTAACGTACGGTACCTATACATCTGAGCAGATGATATGAATCTCCAGCATGAAAAGTGGCAGGTGAGAAACATTTCAGCCTTTTGTTTCTTCAGTCTTCCCTAAAAAGAGTGTGTTTTTCTGCATCAGCTCTCAGAGCCTCCTGTAAGTGTAAACAGACAGAGAACTGCATGTGTCACTTCTGAGGACCAGCACGATGTTGTTGAGTTATTTCTGTAAGGATAAATACTGCAAGAGGGGCAGACTTTAATTTTTAATCATACTCTAAACTTTATGTTACATGTAGTCCTATTTGTCAGAGAGTGGGTGAAATCAAGGCCATTCCTTCAGGGTGTGCATAGCTGCCTTCATGCCAAAGTTTCAGACTGACATCATTCTATGTTGAGAAATGATGAAGTTGAAGACGTTTCAGTCAGCCACACGTCTCCTGTGAGACCTGGCATGATCTATTAATGCTTAAAATATGTTGTGAATGACAGCTTCTACCATTCATCAAGATATATTTGAGCTTTCTTTGCCCCCAGTCAAAGAGCGAAGAGGGGAATTAGAAATAACCTCCATCCATGTTGTGCACATGATAACATAAAAAATATGACATGCCGACCTTTGGTGTGTGGCTGCATCTAGGTGTACAAAAGGTCACCATCAAAAAAAGGTCATCATATAATGGTCAGCGGCCCCGCTGACCCCCCAATTGGCCCCTGTCTCACACTCACTCCCTCCTGGTATTGTTTCAGCCCCTCATGCCATAGTTCCTCTTCCCTGCTGTGTTTTGCCTATCTCCCATCTCCAGCTCAAGCCTACTCCTTCCAAGCCATGCCCCCACAGCAATCAGCCCTGATTCCACTCACCTGCTTCAGCTCATCTAGTTCACCTGCTCTGCACCCTTTATAAGCTCCATTCTCCCACTCCACCAGTGCTAAATTATTATACCTTCCATGGTCCCTGATATTTAGCCATCTTGTTCTTGTTCTTGCTTGAAGCCCTGTATTTGGATTTTTGACCTCACGCCTTGTCTTGTGGATTTACCCTTTTGCCTGCTCCTCGTCTGGTTCTGCTCTGTCCTTCTGATCACTGTAACGACCTCCTCCTCTGCCTC